TGCTCACTTGGGAGTTTGGGATTTTCAAGATTGTGTGGTGTGATACCTTGCTCCGTACCGGATACGATATACGAGGAATGACCTTGGATTAAAAACATACGCCCAGTATTCAGGAATACAACTTGCTTTTGAAAGGTACTGTGGAATACCGTATCGATGCGTTGGAAAGTCTTGGCTGCATGTGTACATACTTTAGACCTGCTTCGTTGGGTCCCTGTTTGGCTTCTGACCTGGAGACTTCCGGACCGTTGAACGGCCCCGCATCGGAGCCGAACCCGACCACTTGGCGGTGCCGTGGTAGCTAGGTAGTCTCCAATAGCAACGTCGGCTACCTTATTCTATAGCTGCACCCAATTCATGAGGAAACAAAAATGTCCCAGAATTGACGAAGGCTACATAAGGTAGCCCCTGTCTGTTTCTGTATACATACCCGAGCTGTATCATCGTGTCTTTGCACTCAGATTTGCAACAATTCGGTACCATTGGCCAGACCCTTCTGAAGCAAAGCTGGCAAGGAGCCGAGGCACCCATCCTTTCCCCCCCAGGTGCCACAATAGGGGTTCTGTCGATCGGCTCCACGGCCAATTGGGTGCGTAAGCTGAAGCTCCGTTGGGTCCAAAAGTGCCCCGAAGCCCCGGCTTTGCGGGCATTGTCAGCTAGCCGTTTTTGCACGCGGCGGGGGGTGTAAAGAGGTACCCGTGCATTCACAGCAGGGAACGCGTCTGAAGCTTAGCCCTTCCAGGTTCCAATCCCCCCAAATCGGTTTTGCGTCACAAAAATAACCCCCCAGCTAAAGGTCCCCCCCCCCCCCCCCGGTCTTGTCTGGACACACGGGACGGAAAGTGCGACCACGAGACTTGATCTCCAATTTCCCACAACCTCCAACCCTTTCCCGCTTGCTCGAATCAACATTCCGAATTGTCGAAACTTGCGACTCGACATAGCTCGGGAGCTTCCTTCTTCTTCATTCACTCATTGACGAGATGTTTTAGAAATTTCTCACTTCTGAAGCTCTCTCCCTTTCTGCGCCTTCAGCTTCTTCTACACGCACACGTGCGCAAAGCTCCTCGAGGAGCTTTGCATCTACGAAGCCAGCCCACCATGGCTGCCATCCTCGAGTTCTTTAAGAGCATCTACGACCTCGACAACCTCGACACACGTTTCACGAGCTCCTCTTCCGTTCCCTACAAGACCATCGTCGAAGCCCGAACCGATCCCGCGCATAGCAAGGAGCCGCCCAACAAGGTCCAGAGCCGCTCGCAGCCGTCGAAATGGCGGACACCGGAATACCTCCTCTACATCTTCTTGCTCTCCTTCATCGTGCCGTACATGTTTTGGATTGCGTATGATGTATCGAGACGTATGTGTTGCCCTCTATTCCCGAAGACGAAGCTTCCGCTGATGCTCAATGCTTCCATTCTCTAGCTTCTGACCCTCGATACCACAACTACGAGCGCTTCCTCTCCGATGGCTGGATACCAGGTCGCAAGATCGTAAGCTTCACCTGATGCGCAACGCTACCCACCTGCACGACTCCCGCTCACCCCAGACTTCTCTTTCTAGGACGTATCCGATTCGCAATACCACACATTCCGCGAGAACCTCCCGTTCATGGCCCTCCTCCTGGCCTTCCACCCCCTCCTCCGCAAGCTCTGGAACACAGTCTTCCCGATCCCCTCAGACCTGCACAAAAAGTCCGTCACCGAACAGGGCGACGCCCGCCTCGAGCAGCGCGCCTCCTTCGACTACCGCTTCGCTCTCGTCTTCCTCGTCGCCCTGCACGGCTTCTCCTCCCTCAAGGTGCTCGCGATCCTCCACATCAACTACCAGCTCGCGACCCGGCTCCCGCGCCGCTACGTCCCTGCCGCGACATGGACGTTCAACATCTGCATGCTCTTCGCCAATGAGCTGTGCCAGGGGTACCGCTTCGCCGCCATCGCGAGACACATCACCCCGCCGCCCGCGACCAAGAACCTGCTCGATGAAGACCCCTTTCTCGTGAGGTGGGGTACTTGGATGGACCGTCACGGCGGTCTCATGGGCCGCTGGGAGATCCTCTTCAACATCACCGTCCTGAGACTCATCAGCTTCAACTTGGACTACTACTTCAGCCTCGACCAACGCAGCGGAAGCCCCCTAGAGGTAAGACCAAAGCTTGATATCATGCCACAGCCACCCTCCCGACATCACTGACGTCCCCAAGAAGAAGCAACTCGACCCCTCCAACCTCTCCGAACGAGACCGCCTCGCCATCTCCGCCGCGCCAAAGGACTACTCCTTCCGCAACTACGTCGCCTACGCAATCTACGCGCCCCTCTACCTCGTCGGCCCCATAATGTGCTACAACGACTTCATCTCCCAGCTCCGCCACCGCCCCGCCTCGATCGAGACCCCGCGCACCATCCGCTACGCCGTCCGCTTCCTCCTCGGCCTCCTCGCCATGGAAGTCGTCCTGCACTACGACTACGTCTGCGCCATCTCCCACGCGGGGCCCAACTGGTCCACCTACACACCCGCCCAGCTCTCCCTCCTCTCCTTCTTCAACCTCCACATCATCTGGCTCAAGCTCCTCCTGCCCTGGCGCCTCTTCCGCCTCTGGGCCCTCATCGACGGCGTCGACGCCCCCGAGAACATGCTCCGCTGCGTCTCCAACAATTGGTCCCCCAAATCCTTTTGGAAGGCCTGGCACCGCTCCTACAACCGCTGGCTCATCCGGTACATCTACATTCCCCTCGGCGGCGCAAACTTCCGCTCCTGGGCGACCACCGTCCGCTCCATCGCCACGTATCTGTTGGTCTTTACTTTTGTCGCCCTCTGGCACGATATCCGTCTGCGCCTGCTCATCTGGGGCTGGCTTATCGTGCTCTTCCTCCTCCCCGAGGTCCTCGCGCAGCTCCTGTTCCCCGCGCGGAAGTGGGAAGGCAGACCGGATACGTACCGGCGTATATGCGCGGTTGGGGCTGTTGCGAATGTGCTCATGATGATGATTGCCAACCTTGTCGGTTTCGCTGTCGGACTTGACGGCTTGCAGAGCATTCTCTCTGGTATTCTGCACGACTGGTCAGGTAAGTCTAAATAATAACAACTCCCCCCTGGGGTTCATCTTCCCCTTGCCCCGTGAAGCGCACGCACTAACTTTCATCTTGTAGGTGCACTCTTCTTTATGAGTGCGTTTGCCTCTTTGTACATGGGCGTCCAGGTCATGTTTGAAATCAGAGAGGCCGAGATGCGGAAAGGCATTTCACTAAAGTGTTGACAGGTGTTCACCGTTTGTCACTAAAAACGTTTGTAGCAGAATTACTTGTTTGAATAGCGATTTTTAGATGGTTTGTATTATCATACTAGACAGTTATGGCTGTACTATTACTTGATGCAACTCGCTCGCTCGCTCCCTTCTTCTTGGCGCCTCTTGACCGTTGTGATGCTACTCTTGACAAATGAGGGGAATAAGAATTAGTCGAGGTCCCTTCCTCCGGGGTATAATAGCAAGGCGGAATAGTCCAATGCAGTGCCTTCTCCGAAATCCATGTCCAGACTCCTTCTCCTCTTCCTCTCCCTCTTTGTACATATACACATACATATGCGTCTACATGCTCGCATATTCTGTCAATTAAAACATGGGCGTGGCGCTTAGGTTCTTTCACCCCCCTCCTTTTGTCGCTCCCTCTTTACCGACTTTCTTTTCGCCCTCAGTGCTTAGAGGTGATGGTCCCCAGCTCCGTATCGTAGTTGCGGAAGCGCTGCTGGGCAAACTTGCCATCCATGCCCAGCTTCTTCTCCGTGATCCACTCCCTCAACCAAATGAGGCCCTTTGCGACGAGATAAAAGACGACACCAGCCACCGCGATACCGACAATGTACGCAGCCACCTTGCCGCTGCCATTCTTGTCGACATCGAGAAAGTCGTAGGTGTAGAAGCCCTGGGTGTAGTACGTGACGTAGGCGAGGGCGAGGTACAGCGCGAGGACGATGATGAGCCAGAGCATGTGCACCCACTCGAGCTGGGCGGCGCTGGTGCGCGGGATGATAATCTCAAAGAGGGCAAAGGCCGAGTTGAGGCCGTGCTGGGAGATGTTGCTAAAGGCCTCGAACTGCTCGGCGTACCAGGGGGCCGAGTAGATGATGGCCCAGTAGACGATTGTCACGATGAAGGGGTAGGTGACGATGGTGCTGTAGTAGAAGGCGTGCAGGGCCTGGAGGGGTCGCGGGAAGCGGTCGAGCAGCGGGGTTCCAGTGTGCGCGTAGGTGAAGGTGTGGATGGCTGAGATGAGGAAGTAAAAGGCGAGTCCCCAGTACGTCAGAACAGTCTACGGAGGGGGGGGGGGGGCAAGTGAAGTCAGTCGTTGCGCCGTTTACTCTGTTGGTTACACGAAATGATTTCCGAGGTTTGCTTACAAAGTAGGAAAAGCTCTGGCCGACAATCTTGCACCCGCCATCTTCGGCGTGAGTACAGGTCCAACCGATGACGAAGAAGCGGACGACGAAGATGTACAGACTCTGCGAGAGACAAGCGTGTTAGTTGCCATTAGCAATTCACTATTTGGTGGTGGTTTAATGGGCAATCGCGCGTTGAGAGAATGGTGAGACGACATTGCCAGACACCCAATGCACAAAGAGTCCTTAAGCGCGACAGAGGAGAGTAAAGGAAGGGAGCCAAGACTCACAATCAGCGCTCGACACGCGGCCAACAGGTAGGGTGAAAGGAGCCATGAGGTCTCGAAGCGGTGAGAAGGATCCCAAAGATCCCTCCCGAAGCGGAATGCAGCGAACATCGTGATCTGCCGGGGGGTGATTGATGCCGGCTGGGATTGAGGGGGGGGGGGGAAGAAAAGGGGGAGTGGTGAAGCCCTTTACCCTCTCAATTTTCCTCCACGATGATGAAGTTTTGGAGTTGAGCTAGAAGGACGGGGGCAGTTCCTCGAGGACCCAAGAGGATTTTGAACGTGGGCCTTGGCTTTCGGCGCGGGTCGTTGGCTTCGCAGGGATGGTCTCCGCTGGCTGAGAAATCGCAATTCCTTTTTGCTGCTGGGGGGAACCTGGCCCTGTGTGGCAGAGCGCGCCGAGTCTCACGGGATGTCGCGTGCCGAATGTTGATGCGGGAGACCGTACGTACGGAGTACGAAGTACAGATACGGATACAGAATAATAATTGTTGATGATGTTTGCGGTTGTGAACGGCTAGATGCTATCTGCCGTATTTTCTGTTATTGTTGTTGCTCTTCCTGTCGATGCCAGACTGCGACCTCACCCCAAAGAAGGATGAACTGATTCGACTGCCAGGTAGTCGTAAGCAACGTCGCGAGACCCAATGTGTAAGCTGGGCCGCGGAATGCGACCATAAAGGTCTACCAAGGTCTGTACACAGGTACCGATGGCTCCACGATAGGCATGGCCGATGCCGACACCTCTTTTTTTTTGGTTCTTCTATCCGCTTTTTGTGGCCTAGGAACCTGGTCACCAAAGAGGGTCTTGACCGTTGCTGCAGTTCGCCGGAGATGATGTGGGGGGTTCATGTACGATATCAACGGGAGCATAAGGGGGGGAAACCAAGGGTTTTCTTGGATTTCTCGAGTTCGGCCGAGAGCCTCAGAGAAGAAGATTTCGCCCGCGACATGCTCTCGTCTTCTCACAAGCGTCTCCCTTCTCAGACCAGTGGTTCGATCGCAGCGAATAAGACCGCCAGACGAGAACGGCTGAGCCGAATTTGCTGAATAGACGCCCTGAGAATGCACCCGTGTGATTTGGGCTATGTTTTGTGGCTGACGCCAAGTAAGCTGATCCAATGCGATGGTCCTCTACGTGGCTCTTCATTGTCAGCTAAATCTGATGATAACAGGAGTCTTCGATGGTGAGGATGTACGGGTGCAAGCTCCTCCTCCCGCTAAATCAGTGAGCGGGAATCCTCGAATAATCAGCTGAGAGAGCCCATCGCCCATTGTGGCTCGGCTGGCGCGACAGCTTTCTTGATTTACGGACACCGCGTATCCGTAGTTCATCACGCCGTTGCCGTTGCTGTTGCCGTTGCCGTTGCTGTTGCCGTTGCCGTTGCCGTTGCCATTCCCCTGGTACAAGGTGCATGCTGCGGGGTGAGGCTCCTGCAGAGACGAAGCAGATGCTTCTCAACTTTGGTAAACAGATTGTAGATCGATCTCCAGATGAACCGGCCGTCGATCGACAAGTGTCCCAGACTCCCAGGGCCGAAGGTGGCACAAGGGGTGAAGGGGCACCACATGAACGGAGGTATGACGGGATCGAAACCAGGACATGCCTTGCAGCCGCGCTTGTCGTGCAAGATGGGCTGAATCGTGGATGTCCGTCATTTCCGCGCTTGCGTTGCGAAGGAGAAGCGCGATGCAAATACGGCCGCCACTTTCCGACCCTTGAGGGAGCCACTGCGAAACCAATATTTGTCCATGGCGAAATTTAACCGCGAGGGGGTACGGAGTAGAGACTGGAGAGGAGATCGATGGCTCAATCCCACAGGAGCCACAATAGCCATCGTGACGTGAGCGACCCCTTGGCGACGGTAATACGAAAAGAGACTTGTTAATAGAGTCCCACATGAACCCCCCCCAAGGTTGTGGCTCATCGCATCGTCATGCTCGTCATCTATCGAACTCTCCGTCATCTGCCCTGTAGGCCCTCAGCATGGCCACACTGTCGTATTCTCATTGCTAAGGTCGAGGTGGATAGGCAATGTTCGCGAAAACCAATACTTCGCCAATCCATCTTGAACCGTTACCAATTGCAGTCGTATGAGCCACCGAGCGAGATGTGGTAATCTGACCCGTCCCGTGTCATTGGGTCAGGAGAAATCGTCAGCGGGCCGTTTTGGGCTTTTATTGGAGTTGGAGAGGCCACAACGGGCCGCATGGCATCAGCCGTTGGGTCGTGTCTGTAATAACCGGACCAAGACGCGCTGGAGTAGGATCGATAGTCAATATTAACATTTGAACGTCGCGCTTCTTTGGGCCGAGGCTTTTTGCCTATGAAAGCCCCCATGAGCTGCTCTGCTCAGCAAAGCTCCGTCGTCACCCCATCAGAAACGTAGTGGTTGCTCGCACAGACTAGCTCTATAGCCAGCGTCAGGGGCTTTTGGACCGAACCTAATGAGGCTCCTCGGTTCATCTCGTCTTTTTTGGTCCCTCGTCTCTTGTCGCCTTCCCCTGTTCCAGTTATGTCAAGGGTGTCGCAACTAATCTTGAACGGCGGTCAATGAGTGGGGAAAATCAAGCCAAGGACCCCAATTGACCGTTGCAAACCAGGTCAAATATTCCACTCGATCGATAAAGAGGTTCCCAGGAAGTGTCAAGGGCTGTAAGCGGGCTCTTTGGTCGGGAGACGAGGCCGATCGATCGGCCCAGCGAGCCTATGTCCACAGATGGAAATGAAGCCGGAGAGGCGAGCCGTCGATATACAACCTCGTGTCAAGCAACGACCACAAGATGGTAGGCGTCAAGTGTCGACACGGTCGGCGGTTTGAGACTCAGGTCTAGCTTCGCCGCTTCAAACATCGTAGGCCGTGCGATCAAAGACAAACTAGGGCGGGAGCTGATGCCCGTCGTAGGTGTGAAAGGGATAGAGGGTAGAGCGCACCGTAAGTATTTGAGGCAGAGGCGCCGCACACACCGTTTTGCGGATCGTGCCACTGCTGACGGACAACACAAGACACGGAATTTCGACTTGGTGTTCGCATGTCAACCCATGATAATAAGCCATAGGATGCGGATCCAATGGTGTTGGTCGTCCTCGCCGCGGACATGCTTATTCGCAACATCCAGACAACGGCACACCTCACATCAACCTGGACGGCGAACGGAAGCTGCTGTCATCTGTACCACGGTAAGACTAGATATTTTTGCAGAGCTGTGTTTGGCATTTTGTCCGGCGGGTATGGCCTGGGCTGGGCCAAAGACAGGCGAAGCAAATAATCGCATCTGCAGGACTTCCCCAGGCCCTGTGGTCGTTGACAAAAGACCCAATAGGCACCTTTGGATGGCAAGGTTGCAGTACTCAATGCCATAACCATTGAATGTGGGCCCTCAATGGCGCGTCAAATGGAACATGCAACGGCACTTGGGCAATGAGAGAGCGGCTTTCGCAGGCTGTGTCCCCAAAGTGTCCAAGTACCCCTCTCCTATGATTCAATTTCATCGTGCGAATGCGAGTTATTAATTGGTGGGCCGGATGATGACTTCTGGAATGGGCTGGATAACGGGTGACGACGACCAACTTCCCCAAAGCATCCGTATCCGGCCATGAAAGGAAGTTGTGTCAGCGGTTGGACAATACCGTGGTAAGACGATGTCCCAGGCTGGCTGTCACGAGCAGGGGTTTCGATCCCAATTGAGACTCGCTCCTGCATTGAGGAGATGGTCTCGTAGCCCTAGGACAAGGCACCTTGTCTCCTGTTGGTTGTCGGTTGAAAGGTGTGAGTTGGGTTTGATTGATAGCTTGGAAAAGCATCGTGTGCTGTATGTATTCTTAGTGCAAGGTGGCCAGTCAGCGCAGGCCGCAGATAGCAAAAGTTTGGCTGGTGCTTTTCCTGCCGTGTTTGGTGGCTGACGAAACATCTGCCCGCTTGCCTTGGCGTGCATATACTAGCCGCAATGACTGTGTCGGTGGATGGCGGGCGATTTGTTTCTTTCGGTGTGTTGAATGCTGGGACTGCCCTTCCTGTCAGCAGTCCGAAGGGGACGATTTGGCTCTTATGCTGCAGAAGCAAGTACAAGATGCTTTCGACGGGCATCCCATCGGCATCGGCTGCAGCATTAGCATCAGTGTGTCGAGTGCGTCCCGGTCCTAGACCAGACGTAAGGTAGGGGGCGGAAAGGGAAGTGGGTGAAGACATCTGCTCGGTAGGAAAGCACCTACCAGACAGATAGCCAATCGATGCATGTGTGGACACCATCGAATAATGTCCAAGCGACAGAGTCAGTCATGGCTCCTATAGTCTGGCAACCCAGTCAGTAAGTCCAGTGGCGTCAAGCAAGATGGACCTACTCTAGGTATACAACCATTGTACAAGGAAGAAGAGCAATGAGAGTGTGAGTCCCTCTTCATCACCAAGGTTAGCAAATTGTGCCGGAGAGTCACGCCTGAGGTTTCTGGCGTCATTATCAGCGTTGAAATGCGCATCACTACCCGTACAGAGTAGGTATCCGTACTGGAGTCTGGAGGGCCAAAGGTCGAGAGCCGGAGACCGCTTTTCGCCGGGAGAGAGGGGTGGCACTTGGAAGTATTGGGGTAAGGTAGTTCGTACTCCGTAGGGGACCCTGCGAGCCAGTCCCTGTCTTTGGGAGGAGCCTCGGGTGGTTCTGGGCCCTTTCCCTTTTGCAGCTTGCCATGTTCGTCCCCCGTTTTGCTCAGGGGTTCGAGGAAAGAGGCGGCGCTAAGGCAGAAAAGAGCAAGGGCGGGCAGGGGTCCATGGGAAACGATTCAACTCTCAAGGGGGGGGGAGGAGGGACGGGCTGGGTCCTTCCTTTCTTCCTTCTGCTGGGGGGCCGACCTGAGGCGTCCCTTTTTTTCCTTCTTTTTTTTTTTCTTTCTTAATGAGCAATGTGATGGCTGCGGAGAGAGAGAGAGGAGGAGGCGGGGCGGGCAAACAATAGAACGATTCGATTAATTGCCTAGAATGACTAAGTGTAATGAACCTCGGGAAGCAGAGGCGATGAAGAATCGGACGAGGGCTTAGTTAGGTATGTACTCGTAGTCTTTTTAGTAAGTACCTAGGAGATGGAAGAGTTTTCATCAAAGGAAAAGGAAGCAAAAATGGCATTCCAAAAGAACCCAAGACGAGTGTCATAACTGCAAGGGCGAAGAAGCACCGCCGCTTGTGGACGCGAGACTCGAATAAGAGGAAAAGAGGGAGAGAGAGAGAGAGAGAGAGAGAGAGAGAGAGAGAGAGAGAGAGAGGTGCACAAGGATGGATGCGACTGGATGCGACTGGATAAGGTAATTGCCATGCCTATGCGTACGAGTACTTTACCTTGGCGCAAGGAATATACTTGAGTCGAAGTATCTTCCCCCAGAGCTCCTCCCCCCCAAAGTCCCATGGTAGCGGCGGTCGCAGGTGTCAGTTGAGCCCGATTCAACAGGTCCACGTCCACGTTCACGTCCTTGTCAGTGTCAAGTGACTGTCACTGGATGTCAAGGTCAATGTGTCAGTGGGTGGTCAACCAACAGCAGCAGCATCTGCTTTCTTTTTTCACTCCCCGATCCTGGAGCCCTGCCAATGCCAGAAACAACATGTAGACACACGCACTCGCCCCAAGCTGCATCTTGTTTCTGGGCGAGGTACTTAGCCTTACGATCGGTAACTTGAAGTATCTTTTTACTTTCTTGCTTTACCTACCTTACGGAGTACTGAGGTATGGGTACGAATACCTCACAGGCATCCTCTTGGAGCATGCATCTGAAATGCCATTTCGACCATACTTACTGCGTACCTACCTAGGCACAGGCAGGAGGCTACTTCGAGATACTTGCCTTACCTAAGGTAATATACCCTGGGCTCACCCCTTCCCCAACCAAAAAAGGCACTGGCACCATTTGGCATCTGCAGACTGCACCTCACGCCGCACGCCGCGTACCTTGCACCACTTCTGGACCTAAAAGAAGCGGCGAATGTACCTCAGGTACGGAGCAAAACCTAGTAAGGTCCGTAAGGTAACTAACTACCTAGGTATCTATCTACCTTAGGTACTGCGTAGGGTGGTGGTGAAAAAAGGAGCAGGGCGACCACCACCACCACCATGCCCGCCTGCCTGCCTGGTCTTGCCTTTCCTTGCGTTAGCGTAGTCGCCGGCATTCGAGCCACTCATCCCTCCACCTTCGCTCAATCAATTCAATTTAGTGGAGGGTGGGTGTCTGTCTGTCTGTCCAGGTCCAGGTTCAGGTCCAGCGCACCCCATCCCATCCCATCTCATGGACCATCGCCGCGCAAGTCACTCCCTCACACGCACACTCACACACACCACAGTCTTTCTCATTGCTCACTGCATTACCAGGCTTTCTTTACCATGCCAGTGTGAGCTGCCTTACTACCTACCTTACCAACGGAGCTTCTTTGCCCTTTTCCCTCCTCTCAACCTTTTCCTCCATCCCGTCACTCTTTCCAAGCTCAAAGAAGGCAGACTTGAGATCCAGCTCCCTAGGTATCTATCTATCTGTACCATTACTCCGTACCTACCTTACACTTCAGCACGCCTCAACTGTTCAGTCCCTCCCGTCCTCTTCAGACTTCAAACTCAACCCTCGCCTCATCCATCTCCGCCCTGGAATGCTCTCCTCTGCCCCTCCCGCCATTCTTGTACGGATACACGACTGAGCGTACAACGGGAGCCTTGACTCTTGAGCCTTCTTCCCGGCCCCGATCCCGCCGTCATCGCTTGGCCCTCCCGGTTCTTCTTTTTCGCTTCTCGTTGTCCTGAGCCTAACCCTTTTACTCGTAATCCTAATATTATCCCACCTCACACTATAATCTATACCTTACCCTGTCTGGCCTTACCTTGCCTCCGACATCCCTCCTTGCTCGCCCGCTCGCCCTTTTTCACCATTGCGACAACCCCGGATCTATTCTTACTCCCTCCTCTCTTTCTCAACCCCCCCCCCCTCTATCTCACCAACCAGGGGCTGTCCTGCCTGTCATGTCAATCCGCGACTGCTGAACACGTCCTTTTTCATCCTCTTCGACGCGGCTGCTTGTTGCAACATCTCGACTCTTTGCCATTCTCATCCAACCAGCGCCAGCCATTAGCACACCCAACAATCCATCCGTACAACACGCACCACCACCACTTGTGAGACCAGCAGTGACAGTGGTGGTCTCCCACAAAGCGCCCGTGTCGCACAGCGTCGTACGTTATATCTCCGACTCTGCTATTCGACCTCCCGCATCGCACGACTCCGACCGAACCACCAGACCCGTACTGTCGAGCGGCTGTGGCAGTTGTCGCACGCCAATGGTCTCTGCCGCTCGTCTATAGCCTCTCCAGACACAGCTTCTTCTGTACGCCATGGCTACATCAACCGGCTTCCCACGCATGTCCTTCGGGGCCAACAACAGCCTCGACTTGAGCTTGGATCTACCAATCGTTCTGTTCCCCCCGTCAGACGATCTGCCTTCTCCCATTTATGAGAGTGACGATGAGGATGCTCAGCGAACACCGACCACGGCTACCGTGCCCCAGATCCCAGACCGCAGCACACGTCGAACGAATAACGAGTCGCCGACACTAGGCAGCCCCAAGGTCCCTCGCCATCCTATTCCCTCAATGCAGGCCGCATTTGCCGAGTCATTCCTCGAAGTCGCCGATGGCAATCCTACCCAGAAACCGAAACTCAAAACTGCTGATGCAAAGATTCGTCGCGAGGAGCTCATTAGCCAGGAACGCGAAGATGACCTACCCGATATGCTTTGGCGCTTTCGCCCCGGCCAGCAGCAGCATGAGCTCCAAAAGCTCATGGCGCAGATATCATTTGGCGTTTACTTGCTGCTTCACGGCATGGCCAACAGCGCGGCTCAGGTTGTCAGCATCCTGCAGGGACACATTGATGAGGTGGACGAATTCCTCGAGGTCGTCATGGAGGACTTTGAGCAGGCGACCAATGATTTGAAGGAGAGGATCGACTACCTTCGCTTGCCCATGGAGAACCTCGAGGTCTTTGAGAAACTGCTAGAGGACCGTAATTTCCGGCTAGAGATCGTTCAAGGCAACGAAAAGATTGAGCACATCGTAGCTCGCACCAACATCCAGCTCGAACAGTACGATAAGGACGTGCAGCATGGTCTCGCCGCAACAAAAGAGTTTGCTGTGTATCTGGCTCACCAAAACGCGGGTAGTTGGCGTCAAGATCGCCCAGACGTGGTAGACATCTACGCCGCAATGAAGGGCAACACTGAGGGCTGGTACAACGCATTTGTGGAGTTGCAAGCTCAAGGCAAGGAGTTGAATACCCTGGTCGTTAAGCTGGGGAAGATGGTGGCTGAAATGAGCAAAAAGGCTGGTGAAGTGAGTAGAAGAACTTGGGTAAGTCCGACCAACCGCCCTCCCGTCTGCCCGGTACTAACCGCTCTGCAGGCCAGCATTCCGCCGTTCAGTCTGCCGCTACAAGGCGCCCGAGTTGACGATGCCTCGTCAAACTCACCACCAGCTTCACCTCCCAGAGGCACGAGGCGCTCTACGCTGCGCGCGAATAGCGTGAGCGGCCCAGTCTCTACTGGGGGAAGGTCAAGTTCCAACCTGGCCTACTTTGACATCCCAATGCAGATACCGTCGCCAGTAGCTTCCCCTGATCAACGATCGGTCAAAACCCACAGAACATCACACTCGAACAACACCATGCAGTCATTCCACACCTCTCACTCGCACAACACGATCCACTCACAAACCACCACCAGGTCTCATAAAACCACACACTCTCATAAAACCACACACTCTCATAAAACCACACACTCTCATAACACCAATCACTCGCACGAGACAGCTCGCACAAGCCATACCACCCGCACAAACCAGAGCTCGCATTCTATCGCGCCGAAGCTCACTCTGGAGACTCCCGACGGACCTATAACTGAGCCGGTCAGCGCCGAGGAGGAGGTGGAGGTGACACTTGACGGATCGCTATATATACTCCAGCCAAGGACGTATACCCCACAACCACCCGAGGAACGCATGCCTTCACCCGCCCCGACCGAATCATCAAGCAGGTACCAGCCTCAGCGCGAGGCGCCCCTACCAACGAAAAAGACGTCGCTTCGCCAAAGGGTTTCTTTGAAGACGACTCCTCCAGAGTCAATCCAAATTCCACCTCCGTCATCAGACCTTCATCACACTGCGCGACAGTCTCCTCGGGAGCGTCACGCTCCAGATTCGGCCTACGGCTCTGAATATGAACAGCGACAGCGTTATCATGGAGCCAACGAGCTCTCCCCGCCTGTTCAGCAGCCGCCGGTGCTACCTTCCCCAAGGTCGGAGCACCAATATTACCGCCCGGTGCAAGCGAGTCCACACTCTCCACTACAACAAAGGCCGCTCACGGCCGGTGCGCAACCCAGATCCCCCTATGGTCACCAGTCAGGGTACTATCCCACTCACCAGAGAAACGCACCGTCCCGCCTGGGAGGCGCAAGCATGTTGAGCACCGTGACGACCATGACATATGACTCACAGATGACGGCGAGCGGAGAAAAGCGACTGAAAAAGAAACGCAGCGCTTTTGGCTGGCTGAAGAAGGCGTTCTCGCTCGACGAAGAAGAACAACGAGCATACGAAGCGCGGAGGCAGCAGCAAACGCCCAATATGTACTACGACGGCAGAAGCCCCAAATTCTTGGACGGCAAGAGGGTAGCACCGCCACGGACTGCAGACAGCGTCTATCGCCAAGGAGACAGTGTCTATCGTCAACAATGATTCGGCCATGTCATACATGGTTGTTATTAGCCGAGAGTTCCGAAAAGCTTGGAGCTAGTCCTTTGAGAGACTGAGAACCACGCCGAGTACGGGCCACTTTTTGAGTTCACCATTTTGCGACTTGCGCCCAGAGTTCGGCAGAAAAAAGCGCGATATTGATACCCCGCGGGCGACCATTTCTTGATATCACATCATTGCAATCATGCACAGTCAACAAATACTGTTGATACATGTGCCGCCATGTTCCCTTGGCTCACGGGGTTTCCCGTGAGCACACAACAATCTCTCTGTTATTTCACGTTATTTTGGACCAGATACTCGCAAACTTGCGAAGGAAGGAAATCAGCATTGGTGCCCTGCCAGGCGTCGGGGCGTTTTAGTCATTCATGTAGCGACTTACCATTTGTCCGATGCATTTACAAGCCAAACTTATTTTTATACGCCTGATGAAGGGCAGTAAGTAATATACGATTCTACGAGGATCCAAGACGAAATAGCGGGCCTCAACCTCTAACCCAACTCTAAATGAAGGTATCACCCCGCAAAGTAGTGAACATGTGCCGTCCCTGCGTTTGCTACGGTCTACGCCCTGGCTGTACGCCATATGCCAAATTGCCATTATCCTATTACGATTGAGCCGAGTGCGTCGACTTGTTGTACAGAGCTCCGAGCGGCCCGCAGATCCTTGAGAACTCGTTTTCGTTAAAATTTGGATGCCGGTTTCTGTACAGCCAAGACGGGGTATCCGCTTCATATAAGTAGTCTATGTACTAAGTACGGAGTAGGTGAAGTTTAAATAGCACAAAATAAGAGGTGAATGCGACCAATGTCTTTTTCTTGCTCTCTGAGGTCGTGTCAATATCACAAAAGCCACGACGAGGCCCCTGCGGAACTAGGAGGGATGACAAGCTGGTCTTGATATCTCTGGGAATCACCAGTTTACCTTACCCGCCACTCAATCTCATCACAACTCCAGCTCTGCAGGTCAACCAACAGTGGAAGGGGGAGGAGTAAAAGTAGATATCCCACTATGGTGACGCCAGCGCCAACACCCAGGACGTGGTTCATCACGGGCTGCACGAGCGGCTTCGGCGAGGCTCTCGTGCGGAAGTTGATGGCGGAGGGGGTGGATAATGTCATTGCCACGGGACGGGGCGGGGCGGAGGCTAGGCTTGCGCATCTGTGAGACACGACGACGACGATGACAGACTGATTACGGATCATGGAGCTTGACGTCGGGGCGGCGGCTGAGGCGTGGGGGTACTTTGAGGATGGTGTTGATGTTGTTGTGAATAATGCTGGGTTTATTGTTTCGGGTCCTGTGGAGGAGTTGACGTGAGTCTTTTTTTTTTTTTTTCCTTCTTGTTTGTTCAGCCCCCCTATCCTCTTTTCGTTTTTCCCTTCTTCAGGACTTCATGTGAGACAGCTTGAGGCTGGCATTTGGATTCAGGGGGAATAGGGGTGAGAGGATGGAATGCACTTGTCCAACCAAGGACTTCCGCTGACCGTGGATGAAACGAGATAAAAAAAAATGGCAAGAGGAGATGGAAGCGAGTTTCAAAACAAATTTCCACGGGCCGCTGAACGTTGCGCGCGCGTTTCTGCCGTTTATGAGAGCAAAGGCGACGGGGACGCTGGTGTATGTTAGTTCGCAGGCGACGTGGCATGTCGATGTTGGTGCCGGGGCGTATAGTGCGAGCAAATTTGCGCTGGAAGGTAGGTCAGTTTGTTTCTACGCCTCCCTCTCCCTTTCACCTACACTTTTCACATACACGCATAAACAGCAGCATGTTCTCTTGACCTTTTGATATCTAAAGGAGAAGCTAACACCATGTGTTTGGAACCTAAAAGGCGCCATCGAGACACTCTCCAAAGAACTATCCATCCTCGCCCCCACTCCAAGAGTCCTCATCATGGAGCCGGGCTACTTTCGCACAAAAGTCTTTACCAACGTCGCCAGCGTCCCCGCGCGACTGCCCGAGTTTGCGGAGTTCAATGCGGCGATCAGGGCGGGCGCCGAGGCGCTTCCGGGGACGGAGCCGGGGGACCCGGAGAAGGCTGTTGCGAGGATTGTGGAGCTGGTAAAGGGCGACGGGATGGTGGGCGATAAGGGGCAAGTGCCGTTGAGGGTTGTGTTGTGGAGCGATGGGTGGGAGAGGATCCGGAATAAGTGTTTGGGTGTGTTGGAGGGGTTGAAGGGTTGGGAGGATGTTGCGAGGAGTGCGGATTTGTGAAGGCGTCACGGGGCAGGTTTTCTAACAAAAAATAGATTTGGAGGTCGTAAAGGAAAAAAAGTGTGGGGAGGCAGAGACCAAAAATTGGGCCTGCAGACTTCAAAGTTTCTTTCTATTTAAATGAAGGGTTTACTCCCCGATGCCGTAGCTCTTTACTCTACTGAAGAAGAAGGGCTTGTCATTCTTCAACGCAAACTCGCCCAGGTCGTCCGTGAGCTTGTTGTAGCTGTAGAAGCCCTTCCACACGAGCTTGGTGTTGCGCGCGCCGCCCTTGCCGGCGTTGCGCATCTCTAGGTACATCCTGTACGTGTACTTGGCCCCGACACCCTCCGTCTCGACGGCCAGGTCGCCCTCGACCTCGCCGAGCGGCATGTCCGTGGTGTCCGGGTGATCGAGCGCCGAGGACAGCCGCCACCGCCCGCGGAGGCCGTGCTGCATGACGACGGATGGCAGGTGCGCCGTGCCGCCGCCGCCGTTGCTGCGACAGTGCAGCTCGAGGAGGTCCTTTGTCATGTAGTGCACGACGTGGGCGGGTTCGTCGGTGGTGAGCAGGCTGATGGCGGTGCCGTCGCGGAAGAAGCGGAGGTAGCGGTAGTAGGTTACAATGTGGACGGGGCTGTTCCAGGTGATTTGGTTGGCGTTGGCCTGGCCTGGTCGGATGTAGTTCACCGTGCTGATGTAGCACCCGTTGAAGCGGATGCGCGGCCTGTGCCGGAACATGTTCCGCCAGGACGAGTCGTAGAGTTTCGGGAGGAGGGTGAGGGTCGTGTTCTCGCTCTCCTCCCTGCGGCGCTGGGCGAGCTCCTCCATGGTGACGTAGTCGAGGTCGCCGCTGTTGTCTTCCTCTTCCTTGAGCGATTCCCAGGAGACGCCGCGTTGCCAGTGGTAGTGCATGCCTGCGAAGCCGAATTCCGGGCCGAGGGCGACGCGGCGCCAGATCTGTTGCTCTGTGGCGACGACGTAGGCGAAGCGCTTGCAGATGAGGGAGAGCCGTACAAAGTCGCCGACGTCGAGGACGGCCACGTCCTTGAAGATGTGGACTAGGATTTCCTCCGGCATGCCGGCGATGGGGCACGGCGGCGCCGGGTCGCCTTCTACCGGCGGGGGCGCGGCCGATACGGCGAGACCTGAGAAGCCGGCAATCAGCTCGCTCATTGTCTGCTTCTCTACGGGCTTGCTTGCTGTACTTGTGGCAGCAGCCGCAGGACCTGATGCTGAAGGCTGTGGCGCTTTCGCGGCCCCAGCGGGGAAGTGCTTCTTCCGGTACGCCAGATCGACTCTGTTATCCATCTACAATGAAAAGTTTAGCGTGATATCAGTGAAGAGGTCGGTGTTCAAACCCACCCTGAATGCCTTGCGGTACAACTTGAGACTGTCCCCTAAGCTGCCGATTGCTTCCTTTTCGACAGCTTCTTCAAAGTGATCCAGGGCAGATACCAGTTCTCTGGCCTCATTAGGGCCAGACTGCCCATCCAGGGTCGGACCGGAAGCGGGCGGTGCTGGTTCGTCGAAAATCATAGATTGTGCATATTCCTCATCCTCTTCTATTTGGGACCTCTTGGCGATTACGCTCTTTGGAATCTCTGCAGGGACCGACTGCTTGGATGAAGAGGATGCCTCTTTTCTCGACTGAGGTACCCGGGCTTCTGGGACTGTCTTTTTGTGCTTCAGCTCGGTCTGCCATTTTTGCCGGAAAGACTCCAGCTCGGAGTCGAGCTGTGGAGGCTCGTCTGACATGTTTGATAGCTATGGTACTCAGAAATACTGAGCTTGTGAAGCTGGCGAAGTGCTATGACAGTGACATTGATTATTGCTTTAGATTGTTACGTGAAAGATGGCGTTGTGTTGCGGTGTCGAAATTCTGGACATCTTTTAGAAGTGAAGCCGCGGTATGACATGTAGTTAAAGTCGACCACTCATCATCGACATTGGTGTTGTAAGCAGACACACGGCAGGCACGCCGAACTGGAGTCAGACGGCGTGTGAGGTGCCACCTGAGGTCCCACCGTGCCTGGTGCTTATCGGTGACATTTTGTGGCGCACCGAAGGATCCACCAGAGTTCCGACCAATTGGAACGGTGGCTCGGTCCGTGACATCACCTTAAACGGTTTGGGCTCGGCTCGGCCAGCAAGGTGCCCCGGCGCCACCCATTTCATTATCTCCGGCAAATTTTTGGGGGGAGGATGGGTGGGAAGAAATGGAAGGGACCAGAGGTCGGAGCGCGCACCCGATTTCGCAGTCATGACGAGGCGACTTCCGTCTAGCGAACGGGGTAAGGCTAATTAATTCTCACCCTGCCTCTTTTTTCTACTTCGTGAAAGCTTGTACCCTTTTCCTCACCCCCTCATCCGTCGAACTGCTCGTCGTTTTCCACTTTCGCCAGCTTCTCACTGCACCACATTTCTGCCGACCGGGTGACCGCAGCATCTTTCCCAAGCTCCGACTTCCCCGACGATGCAAGCTGGTCCGCAATGAATACCATCCACCAGGCTACCCGAGGCCAGGACCACGACAGATTCGACCCCGATGACTCTTTCCCGATGGCGCGAATAGCTCCGCCCCAGACCAACGGCAGCGGAGGAAGCGATGATGATATTACGGCACCGCAGAAGATGATCTCGGCCATGTCGGGCAGTCTTTTGACATCGCTCCTCGGTAAGTTAGCTACGGCGCGAAACGGGACATGAGCATCCCATACGCTGACACGCATGCGCAGTGACGCCCCTCGATGTTGTCCGAATCCGATGGCAGTCGCAAAATGTCACCCCGCCGACGGTAGATTTCTCACGGTTGGCCATGACGACCGATACCCTCAAGACTTTCAATACATCGAATCTCGGAGTCACCGCATGCTGCCGGGAGGTATTCTTCATGAACAACAACTCCGAACTCTGCCTCGCGATGCCGAGAGCGGCAGAAGGCGCAGGAGCATCAGCTGCTGCTGCATGCTCCGTCGAGGAGGTTGAGCGAAAGACAATCAGCTCTACCATGGACGGGCTGAGGAAGATTGCGCGGAATGAAGGATTCACCAGTCTCTGGAGGGGCTTGTCTCCGACATTACTAATGACGATCCCGGGCAACATCATCTACTTTACTGGCTACGACTGGATGAGATACAACAGGAAGAGCCCAATCGCACAAAGGCTCAACGACGATACCGCTCCGTTAGTTGCCGGTTCCGCGGCTCGCGTTCTGGCCGCGGCTGCCGTCAGCCCGATCGAGCTCTTCCGAACGAGAATGCAAGCGTCGGCCGGCAACTCTACGACTGGCCATCTCGCAAACACCTTCCGCGACATCAAGGATATGGTCCACAGCAGCGGGTATACTTCCCTGTGGAGGGGTCTGACCTTGACGTTGTGGAGGGATGTGCCCTTCTCAGGCCTGTACTGGTGGGGATACGAGACGATCCGGGGTAGATTGACAGATTTCCGAGAGACCCGCCGCGGCCGGACACTGGATACTAGAGGATCACGAACCCAGGCGCGCCGCAGGTCTCAAAGCCACGAAAACCACACGGAAACCATGACGGACAGCTTCATTGCCGGCGCCGTCTCTGGCGGATTCGCATCGATGGTGACGATGCCATTCGACGTGGGCAAGACCAGGACGCAGGTGTATCGCGAAGCGCCCCGTCAAGCGGGTGAAGCCGGCGCCAAGGCCGCTGCAGCTGAACAGGGATCCATGGTGCGCTTGCTCTGGCACATCTTCACGACGGAGGGAATCGGCGGCTTGTGGAAAGGATGGATCCCCAGAACACTCAAGGTGGCTCCAGCGTGTGCCATCATGATCAGCAGTTACGAAGTCGGAAAGCGGGTATTCAGGGGCGTGAACGAGAAGTCCAGGAGGGACGCGGAGTAATATTGGAGCATCATCACCACTCATTCCATTTCCAGCATTATTGGGCGTTCAGCGGGCTGCTATCTATTGACGACGGGAAGGAAAAGACCCGGGCCTGGAGTTTGCAATCCGAGCGGCAAACGTCGTGGTTGGTTTAGACATTGGGGAAAACAAAAAATCGTGTAATTCTAGTTGAAGTGTAATGATATGATACCTCGTCCACAAAGTGATTTCCTTTAATGTC